AAATGCGATGTGACGATGGAAGGGGAGTTATGGGTGGGACCAGGCCTGTCGATTGACGGGCATATGCCCTTAATGCCCTGAAATTCCGGGTTACTTTCGCTCCAGCTCGACTGCATAAAGTGTTAGGATCGCATTGCACCCGTGCCACTAAGTGCCTCGTCAGACCCTTCCCCGGACGCGTTAAGTTCTCCAATCAGGCCTTCCCCACCCACTAAGTTTTGGTTTCCGGTTGTAGGCCCCCCCCCCCCAAATTCTGCCTTCCCACCCCCACCCCCCCCCCCCCCCCCCCCCCCCACCCCCCGAGAGCGCGCCAACGGGATTTTTCCCTTAGCGTTTTCGAGCCAATCCCGTGCGTATCTGTAAAGTGGCTGAGACACACATGGAGCACTCAAACTTTCCCTTAGCGTCCAAGCCAATACTAGCTGGCCGCATGTTACAGCTGGGAGGACACATAGGATTAGCGTGCCTGAATTTGGCTAAGTTGATTGGCCACAAAGAACTCCAGCCAATCCAACTCCAACATACTAACACCATGCACGTCAAAGCAATAGAGGCACTCCAGCGTAGCAAGTTAGCCAATCAACGTCTCTCTCCACTCCACCCTCGTGCCATGTTTCCTCTCAACCATCCAATCACCACCACCACCCAAAGAGCTCTCTCCACCTTCGTTCGTGCCATGGCCCTGGCCCATGGTACCTCTCCTCCTCTACCCACCCACTCTGCCGAGCAAACCTCGCGTCGCCTCGCCAGTTTTCTTCCTCCACCTTAGTTAGTCGTGCCATGGTTCCTCTCCTTCTCCACCCACCCACTTTGCCGAACAACCCTCGCGTCGCCTCACTAGCAGCCTAACACACTCTAGATGTATATTATGGCTAGCTATACCGTTCACTCCATGAGCCACTTTCTGCCATAATGGACCTTAGCGAGGGTGACATCCCTGAGCCAGTTTTCCGAATGACGAGCGTCTCTCATGCTACCACCGAGACTGAGCCTTACGAACCCACTGATACAGCAGAAATGCAAGACGTAGCAATCTCACAGATGATCTCATCGTCCCAATCTACGCCTGTATCTGGTTGTGCACGCTTTCATCAGGTGCACCTTAGCTTCGCGCTTCCACCGTCTGAGTCGCGAAAGCGCGTACGAACCGTGCCTCCTCCACCCACTGCTGAGGAGGTTGAGGCGCTGGACAGGGCTATCGCAGAGAATGCAGAAGTTCCCCCGAACATCCAGATCCCTGCTGATGAGAGGGGTTATGCCCGTCGCTTCAGCACGTCGTGGAAGCAGACGTATCCGTGGCTGAGCCTAAAGTACAATCATGTTCAGCGCAAGTATGGTATGAAGTGTTCCGTGTGCTGTGTGTTCGCTCCTAACACCAAGTCTCCCTTTGGGTCTTGTGGCGTCGGTGCAAGAGACTTTCAGAAGTCGGCGTGCCGCAACCATGACCAGTCCAAAGTTCACCTCGCGGCTATGGAGGCTGAACGGCTCGCTCAAGGCACGGAGGTGAGGCAGCGCAGCCTCTTGAACATGATGAGCACCGACCCTGTGATGGCGCGGGTCATCAAATGCATGCAAGGGGCCTACTGGTGTGCGCGGAACGATGCACCTATCGCTCTCTACCCCATGCTTGTGCGGTTCATGGCGGAGCAAGGATGCCCCAACATGACGAACGGCGAATCCTACGGTCGTTATTACTCGAGGTACGTATCTGACAGACACGGAAGTTTGTTACATGTGTTTTGTCACGGCAGATTCCAAGTTTCCTAGTTCTTTTATGGTTATGTTCCTCATTACGTGTCTTGCGGTCATCACTGCAGGTACGCCTTCGGCGAGTTCATTGAGGCTATGGCGGAGCATTTGGCGGGCCGGCTGCTTGTGGACATCAAAGAGTCGGCGTGGTATGGGCTCTCTTTCGATGAATCCACGGATCGCGCCCGAGGGAAGCACCTCATTGTGTACATCACCTTTGAGAGAAGCGAGGCCGTCGTGACCCAGTTCTTTGCTCACCTGACGGTCGACCGTTGCGACGCCACAGCACTGCACGACACGATCGTTCAGTTTCTCGGTGCGAAGGACTTATCGCTGGACAAGCTTGTTGGAGTGTCAACGGATGGAGCTTCGGTCATGACTGGCGCGCGGAACGGAGTCGTCGCCCTGCTTCGGAAACGGTGCCCGTGGCTGGTGGCAATCCACTGCGTGGCGCATCGGTAAGTGTGCATTGCAGTGGTTTGTTCTTACACTCCAATCCCCAACCATACTCACGTACGTGTTGTGTATGTGCAGCGAGGCGTTGGCTGCTAAAGATGCCGCGAAGAGCTTCCCCGAGTTCAAGGTCGTCGACCAGATGATACGCCAGACTGCAGAGCGGCTCGGGCGATCATCAACCCATCACAAGACCTACATGCACCTGCAGGATGTCATTCTGCAGACTCACCTGGAGGTGCAAGGGTTCTGTGCTGTCCGCTGGTTGTCTCGCGGAGATGCTGTGCATCGCTTTTGTGACGTGCTGCCGGTGCTGATGTGGATGTGGACGAAGGACAAGGACTCCAAGACGAAGAAAATCGCAATTAGCTTCAAGTTTCACTTCATGCTGTATCTTCTGGCGGACGTGCTGCAGCTGCTCAACGGACTCAACCTTGCCTTTCAGAAGAAGACGGTAAGGTTGTCATGTTACATGTACGCGCCCTCGTTCGTTCGTGACTTGAGTACTTGGGTCTAATTAATATCGTTCTCTGCTTGCTTTCAGGTTGAAATCACGGAGGTGAAAAACCATGTGGACAAGGTCAAGACGAAGCTGTCGCAGTTCTATGTTGAGCCCGGCGCCTCCAATGGGCCGACCGACTCTCGCCTCAACACGTTCCTTGCTGCGCACGGCAGCAAGGACAAGCGCAAGCTGGAGCTCAAGGGAATGGATGAGAGCGGCCGTCCCGCGACTGCCACTGTCGAGCTTCACGAGGACGCCATCGTCGTCCGCGGTGGCGGTGGCGGTGGCGGTGACGGTGACGGAGAAGGTGACGGTGACGGTGACGGTGACGGAGAAGGTGACGGTGACGGTGGGGGATGCGACTTGGATTCCTGCGTGGACCTGGCCAGGCGGTTCGCTCAGCGCCTGATCAAGGCACTGGGGAAAAGGATGGCAGACCTGCGCCATTTTGATGGTGTGGGCTTTTTCAGCCCTGATCGTTATCCCGTACGTGCAGGAGAGGAGGACGCATGGCTGAAATTCCATCTGTCAGAGCTCCTTGACATGTTCAAGAATCAGCTCCCTGGTAAGTTCCAAGCGTATACTAGCAAACCATTCTTCAGCGCCAACTATATTTGTTCTAACCTTGCATCCTGATTTTGGCAGGAGTCGATATTGCTGACATTGAGCCGCAGATGCGCCTCTTCACCGCAACCATGGAAAAAAATTTCAAGAAGCAGAGCTTTCATCAGGCTCTCACCAACATGCTGCGCACGGCAGACTGGAGAGACGACTACCCCATTCACGCAAAGGCGTGAATTTTTTCCTGAACGTTGTCAGTTGCACACACACTTTTGAGCACTGTTGGGAGAATTGAGGTAGGCGAACTCTCGCTGTAGAAACTTGGTAGTTACAGCTTGTCGCATGCTTCGCGAAGCCCAGGGTTCTTTGGTCGTCGTCAAGCACTGTCCATCTTGCCAGGACCCGCCTTGGCATTCTTGTTTTGCAGCGTTCGACGTCCGTACAGACGTCTGTACCTGCAGATTCATATGGTCAGTTCCAGCAGCAGATGGTCTGACTATCCCTGAGATAATACATGAAGACTTGGCATACCTTCGTAACCGATCTTGAAGTCAAGCTGAACAAAGCACACGTGGCTTCACTGTTCAATGGATGTGCTCATTTCACAGCCCAACTCCCTTTTCAGAGACCGCAAGAACGAGCGAATGTCGACCCGACTTGAAAATGCGCGCTGCGTTGATTGCCAACCTTTCTTGCTTCTTGATTCGAATCCAACCTGCCAGACACACATAAAGCTCCTCTGTTGCTGGCAGTTCAGACCTAGTACTACGACTAGCACTGCAGTCGTAGATTCAAGTGACTGATCGCCATCTCAGTCAGCTCCTAAGAAACGAAACACTTTCTTTGTTCAGAGTTAGGAATCAACATGGAAAAACGCCGCAGCGGCGCTTCAAGTGGTTTCGCTACTGCTAGCGGACGAAGTGCCGCGGGAGCGACATCATCGTTGCTGCTGGTCTTGTTCGCCGCGGTACTTCTGGGAGCGCCCTCTCAGACCCAAGCACCGCGGCATCCTGACGAGGACGCACCGCACGGCCCCCTGACACAACCCAACGCATGTCACCAGAAATGCAAGAAGATGTTAATGGGGTACTATATTGCCAAAGAAAAAGACACGAGGGCGTCGGGACCGACATTTATTCTCGGGAACTACAACTATGAGCGCTACATTCTCGACCCTGCAGCCGCGGATGTTGTAGATTCCGCATTGACATCCTGGGTAATCTCTTTATTCAACCCTACCACAGGAGGGATTCCCCCCTCCCGTACTAATTGCCTTCCTAACCAAACTCTTTGCGTTTCTTCCAACACAATGATCATTGTCTTGACCCGCACATCACAAGGGGCTGCAACTTCTGTTATAACTTGCCGCCGTATTATTCCCTCTCTCTTCGTGGCAGCCAGGTACTCCAGCAACACTGGAATGCTGTCAGCGCTGTGTCATGAAGGATGGCTGCAAGTACTGGCACCTGAAACCCCCAATGAACGGCCAGCCGTAAGCATCTCCATTGGAAAATCGCACTACATTTTGTCTATAATCACGTTCTGTTTTGTCAATCTCTTGTCCAGCCAGTGTACTGTTTTACTCACACTGCGTGGTAAGTTAATCTGTTATAATGCTTTCACCTTGAGGAACGCCTCCGCATTTCTCACAAAACTATCGCCTCTCACTTCCACCCATCCCCTGCGGCTATCTTCTCACCCCCCTACCCATGACCCGAGCAGTGGCCAATGCACGATGCTGGGCTCACAGGCAGGCCTCACCGTGAAGAACTGGGACAAAAACATCCTACCAACGTTCTTCGGCGGAGAGTGCAACCCCCTTGCCAATACGAACGATGATCCGCATTTCCGGGGCGCAGATGGCACCCAATACGACTTCAATGGCCTTCTCGACCGCTCCTTCTGTTTGCTTTCCGACCGTCGGATCCACATCAACATGGGAATCAAGGGCTACCAGCCCATCGCGAATCTCCCCGGCACAGCGACATCATTGGACGAGGAGTCGCTCGCTGCAGCGCTGGAAGCGGCGGCCAATGAGAAGAAACCACGTCATATCAGACAGCTGGAGCAGGAGCAGCTGAGCGTGGAGGAACTGAGCGACCTAGAGAGGATGCGGGCCAATGGGAGCCTGCCGTTGACTGCTGAGGTGGTGGCTGCTCTTGACCGGGAGATGGGTCGTCGCAGCGGCGGAAATGGAGGGGAAGAGGAGCATCACTCGATTCAGTATGAGAAGGATGAGCTGAAGAAGAGGCTTTTAAAAGCAAAACCGATTCGCAGTTGGATCAGGTACATTAGACCGTGCTTGCTTAAATCAGTTGTTTTCTTCGGTACAAGTAAAAACTGTGCACTGTTTTGCAGTTTTCCCTTTTGTTTTCACTTGTAATAATGCTCACGTTCCACATCAACGTTCGTACTTTGTGCCTTCCAGGGAGCTCCAAGTGATGTGGCGCGATTCGACTGGCGCGCAGCACTCTGTATTCATCAAGGCGCGAGACGGCAAGGAGCAAGGGAGGGGCAGCAGCGGGTTCATCGACCGACTGGAGCTCGACGGCTCGCCAGTGGCCCCGCCTCTGTCCGAAGGCTCTTCCATCACTGGCAGCGGCGGGTTCAAGCTGCTTCTGGCGGAGACACGGAGCTGCAAGGGGAAGGACAAGGACGAGTTTCATCTCACGATCGATGGACTGGTGGCCATGGGCATCATGGCACGTTTGGCGCATCCGCTCATGCAGACGGCTACAGAGGCCCAGGCGCATTTCAACGTCCACATTGCCCGGCTGAACGTGAGCAAAACTCTCTTTTCTTTCTTTTCTATGATTGTGATGGGCTTGCTGTGCCCAACCATGTGCTTACACGATGACCAATTCTGGCTTCTAGCCTGATAACTTTTTGTCACATTGTCACAGGCAATCATCCTCGCTTTAACCATCTCCCTCCTCTATCCTCCCTCTGGACGCCCCTCTCCTCGTCCCTTCTGCAGCACACAAAAGGTAATCATGGCGTGTGTGCCCAGCTGCATGCTGCCATGATAACCATCTTCTCTGGGGTTGGGTGTGGTAACGTCTGTCACATTGCCCCATGCAACCGTCTTCCCTTCACCCATCTCCCTCCTCTCCCCTCCCTCTGGACGCCTCTCTCCTCGCCCCCTCTGCAGCACACGAGTGGCATTCACGTCCCATGCACATTGTCCCATGCACTCACCTTCCTTTCACCCAACTCCCTCCTCTGTCCCCTCCTCTCGCCCCCTTTCTCCCTCCTCCCCTCTGCAGCACACGAGCGGCATTCACGGCGTGCTGGGTCAGACCTTCCGAGCCGAGGACGACCGCTGCGTAGCCAGGTCGTCAGCCCAAGAAGTGTCTGCGTGACCTGTGAGGACCACTGGACTCCGCCCTCCAAGCACTAGCCCCATGCCCGACGTACTGCACAAGTAGCGCAACACCCTCTTCGCTGCAGCCATGTGCTCTGGTCGCTGTCTCCCAGGAGCAACATAGCGTGCCAAGATGCTAAGAGGGTATGCAAGGTCAGGTCGTGTGCAGGTCATCAGGTACATGAGGCAGCCATCAAGCTCTAGGTACGGGCCACTCAGCTCTACGGACTCATCCGAAGGCAGAGCTGAGAGCGATTGGCGAGTAGACAGAGGAGTGGCCTGAGGCGAGGAGTACGTGAAGTCGAAGCGCTGAAAGACCTGCTGCACCATGTGTGACTGAGTCAGGGTAATGGTGCGCTGTGCTCTGTCCCGGGTGATCTGCAAGCCAAGGTAGTTGCGCAGTTCACCCATGTCTATGCACGTGTGCCTCTTCTGCAGCTCCGACTTCACGTGGGCGAGTCTAGCAGTGGCAAAGACAAAGTTTTTGACATACACGAGGATGTAGAACGGCGGCAAAGAGGTGTCTGTGCGCAGAAACAGCGACGGGTCGGCTGTAGAAGGAGCAAACCCAAGAGCCGCAAGTGTAGTCCTCAGTGTGTCGTCCCACTCACGGGGTACCTGGCGGAGACCGTAGACTGGCCGTCTGAGGCTCCACTGGGTACCAGAAGGAAACGACCGAGTGAAGCCAGGTGGGCGGCGCAGCCAGATCTCCTCGTGCATGCTGCCTTGTAGGAAAGCAGTGCTGAAGTCAAGAGAGTGAAGCTCATAGTCACGCTGAGCGGCTTTGTGCAGCAGCACCCGAAGAGTGGTCATCTTCGGGGTGGGAGAGAAGGTCTGAAAGTAGTCAACTCCCTGCCGCTGACTGAAGCCTCGAGCCACGTAACGCGCCTTGAAGACAAGCAGAGAACCCGGTGGCCGCTTCACCCTAAAAATCCACTTGCCACTGACGATGTTCGCCCCAGGTGGGGGAACCTCGTCGACGTAGGTGCCTGTGGACTTCTAGGAAGCCATCTCTGCGTCCTTGGCTGACTGCAACTGAGAGGAGTAGGGACCCTCAATTGCCTCAGCGTACAATTGAGGAGTCGGGATGTCTGGTGCATTCGGGTCTTCCTCAGGGGCAATTAGCGTGGACACGAAATGAGGCAAAGCAGCAGCAAAACAATGGAACTCCTCCTGCCTGTCCTCAAGGACGTCCGTGCTAAGAGCACACTCACCCTTGACGAACGAAAGACAGACAGACTCAGACTCAGCAACGAGACTAGTGGCGTAGTCTAAACAACAGCGAGCAGCAAAGTCGACAAGCTCAGCAACTAAGGCAGACGCAGCAGTGGACTCAAAGGATGGGTCGGTGACAACAATGGCCATAAGACGTGTGACAGTAGGACTGGCAGCACGAAGAGAGTCAGACTCCGGGTCAGCAAGAACAGGAAGAGAGGACTCTGGAGGAGACGGCAACGGGACACGAAGAGGAGCAGTGGAAGGACGCAGTGCCATCTGGTGTGTGCCTGGGACCGCAGGAGGACGCAGACGCGAAGCACGACTACTAGTGCGAGCAACACGAACAGGCGACGCAGGACGAGACGCAGGCTCACGAAGCTCACCAAGGCCTCCTGTAGGTCCAGTGTAGGGAGAAGGAGCAGGTAGGGGGAGGCGGGCTGTAACTGTGACCGCGACTGGACAGGCTGTGGACCCTCTAAGGGAGGAGCAGGACCAGTAGAGGGCGGGAGACCAAGAACCTGCTCGAGGAGCGTAACGAAGTACGGCCTCGACCGCGCAGCGCCTCCACAACCTGCTGGGACAGCACTAGTACCCCTAGCGGCAGTACCAGCGCCAGCACCATCTCGAGCTCCAAGTCCAGCACCCTCAGAAGCACCAGCGCTAGCAGCACCACCAACGCCAACACCCCCAGCAGCTCCAGCTCCAGCAGCTCCAGCGGCACCAACTCCAGCAGGACTGTCAGCTCCAGTACCGCTAGCAGCTCCAGCAGTACCTCCAGCAGGACTAGCTCCAGTAGCCCCAGCAGCACCCCCAGTCCCAGCAGCTCCAGTACCGCTAGTACAAGCACTTCCAGGACCAGCAGCAACAGAAGTACCTCCAGCTCCAGCAGCACGGCTCCAGCGCTGGGCAAACCACTCGCGCAGCTCTTGCGCAGAGAGGAGCTCCCGCCTCGACGAAGCACCGCCAGAGGCCACACGAGCAGACCCAGCACCCCCAGGCTCCGCACTCCTAGGCTCCGTAACCCCAGGCTCAGCAACCCCAGGCTCCGCACCCCCAGGCTCAGCATCCCCAGGCTCAGCACCCCCAGGCTCAGCACCCCCAGACTCAGCACCCCCAGGCTCAGCACCCCTAGACTCAGCACCCGCAGGCTCAGCGCCCCTAGTAGCACCAGAGTCAACAGCTACCTTGACAGGCTCGACTGCGTCTACCTGTGACACACATGACGGGGCAGGACCCTGAGGGAGGAGAGGGTCTAGCGGGGGAGGACTTGGCGCAAGGAAGAGCGGCGGTGGGGGGAGGGGCGCAGTGCGGTAGGGGAAGAGACGGTAGTAAGGCACTGACTCGTCAAAGGTGACGTCCTGGGAGGACAGAACACGGCGCGAGGTGGGGTGGTAAAACTGCTAACCAGGCGCGTCAGGTGGGAAGCCAAGGAAGACGCAGGGAGCCGCACGGGGGGACAACTTGTCCGCAGACAAGTCGCGGACAAACGCCCGAGATCCCCAGACACGGAACGCAGACGCATCGCCAACCTTCCCCGTCCACCTCAGGGTGGGGGAGGTCTCCGGCAAGGAGACTTGGGGCTGAAGGTTGATCTGATGCGCCGCATACCGAACCGCAAACGGCCACAGAAAATGGGGAGCAGCCACATGGATCATGGACGTACGAGCGACGTCCATGACCATGCCAATGCGGCGCTCAGCAATCCCATTTTGCTGTGGAGAGGCCGGAAGCGTGAAGGTCTGGCGGATTCCCCGTGCACGACAGAAGGCTCCTAGAAGGGCAAAGGAAAACTCCCTGCCTCTGTCAGAGTGCAGACGTAGAACAGGAAAGTCCGAGCCGAAACTCTCTCTGAGCTGGAGACGAGCTGCGCGGATCCAGTCGATCAACACCTCACTGACGTCACCCTTGCTGCGCAAGGGGAACACCGTGGTGTAACGCGAGTAGTCGTCAACCACCAATAGGAAGTAACGCTCATGACCCTGGCCACGGACGCGGGCGGGGCCCAACACGTCCATGTGAAGAGTGTGCAGGGGAGCCTCAGTCGGAGGAAACTCGGAGGAGTGAGGGGCGGCGCGCTGCCGCCCCTCGACGCAGGGAACGCAGGTAGGGGCAGGCCCCGAAGGGAGGGGAGGGAGGGACCGGGGGAGACCAAAGACAAGGACATGGGAGGCCATGCCTCGGAGACGAGGCAGGGAGGGGTGACCAAGGCGGTGGTGCCAAAGGAGAGTCTAGTGGGACAGGAGACGACACAAGCAGGGAGCAGACTCAGGACCAGACCTGGACGCTGCAGCAAACACCTGACTCGACGCAGCTACCTGACTAGACTCAGCAAGCGGAGGAGACTCAGTAGTCAGTGTGTACAGGCTCGACACGGCCGACGGGAAAATGTGGCCAAGTGTCGGCCCGTCCGAGCACACGTACAGTGGGTCACCCGCTGACTCGCAGGAGTGAACTGGTCAACCCCCCGATCCTATAGATCAGCACCACTCACCAAGTTTGTAGAGAACGAGAGGAGGTAGAGACATGGCAGGGTGCCAGAGGGGGCTGCCGGACACGGTAAGACAGTGGAGAAGCAAGCAAGGACAGGACCCCCAGAGGGGTCCGCTAGGGAGACCGCAACCGGCTGACTAAGCGGCGTAAGCGTGGTGCGGTCTCGAAAGAAGGAGTGGGAAGCACCCGAGTCAAGGGTGAAGGTGTGTAAGGCCTGAGCCGACGTGGTACCAGAGAGAGCAGACTCACCAGCACCTGGGGCAGCAGACGCACTTGCACCTAGAGCAGCAGCCTCACTTGCACCTAGAGCAGCAGCCTCAATGCCCGGGTCAGGCGAAAGACACAGGTAACAGTCACCCTCATCACTAGCAAACATAGCATACATGGCAGCAAGAATAGCATTATAGTCAAGAACAAAGATAGCAACCCCCGCCGTAGACAGCTCTCTCCAGCGAGGGATCTTAGTGGAGTCAGGGAACTGGTGACGCCAAGCGTCCGTCAGGTGGCCGAAGCAGCGCTGGGTGGAGTGCGAGCCCCGCACTGCTCACCAGCGCGGTCGCCGGTACGGAGGACGTAGTTACAGGGACCAGTACCCCCACCTCGCTGACGCGCAGCGTACCACTCACGAAGCTGCTTGGGGGACAGGGTCTCACGAGTGCGCTACTGCTGCTATTGCTGACCACCACCTGAGCCGCCCCGCTATGCAGAGCCACCCCGACTAGCTCCACCTCCTCCGCCGCCACCTCCGTCACCGCCCCCACTGCCTCCTCCTGCGCTCCCACCGCCACCGCCGCCGCCGCCTCCGCCGCCACCTCTGCCTCCGAAGCCCCCACCCCCGCCACCACTCCCACCACCACCCCCACTCCCTCCGCCTCCTCCACCTCCACCTCCACCGCCCCCGCCAGCCCCTCGAGCGCCCTTGCCCCCCTTGCCCTTGCCGGTGCGGCGTCGCCCGCTAGGGGCAGATGCAGCTCCGACCAACTCGGTGCCAACGAAGTCGACGGCAGAAGCAGAGGCAACAGAGGGCAAAAGGGGGGAGGGGGAGCACCCCTCAAAGACAGGGGCACGCGGGTCACCTCTAGAGGCGCCTACAGCGACTATACTCTTCTCTGCTGCCAGGAGGCGCTCCTTGAGGAGGTCAACGGTGAGTGTGGTGGGGCAAACTGAGAGGAAGTGGTCCCTGACTAAGCGAAGGGAGTCTGGGAGCCGGGGGACTATGTAGTAGAGGGTGATGTACATGGGGGGAGGGTTCTTGGCA